CTATTTAAAAGGGATTGAAAATCTGCAATTGGGTTTAGATTATAGATTCGCTCATTTGAAATGATCTTTAGATATGATAAGACTATAATTTCTTTGCCTTGGTTTCTTTGTATGAGTTCATTTTATCTTTTCCAAATTGCGCATGCATTTCATCAATGTAACAAGTTTGAGGTTTTGCCATTTCTAAAAAAACCCAAAAGTATAGTGTGAAATATTTATTAACGTTGTCTTTGTTGGGCTTGTAAATTTGCTTTAGTCCTACGTTTTTGGTTGTTTACTTGTGGTAGTTGTTGGTCTGTTTTTAATTACTGTACTGAGATATCATTTTAATCTACTTATTGTACGTAGATTGTGCTTATTCATTTATTGTAAACTAAATCTATAGATCTTAATTGAATTTTGTTCCTTCTTTGTTCTTTTGCTAATGTAGTCTACTCCACTGGGAAGATTGTGACCAGAAAGAGGTAGGAAAACTTTTTGGAAGTAGTACCTTTGAATTTCGAGGTGCATTGTTGATTTTGTGAGTTGCAGCAAGACTCAACTATGCGAGAAGGTTTGTCCCTAAACTCAATTGAAGTGCAAATGTGCTATGATCTTAATAGTTTATGCTCTTTATTTTGTACATATGACAGAATAAACAGAGAATTTGATGCTCTTTATTTTGGACAAGTTTTCCTTCCCAGTTTCCCCCTCCATGTACAAGTGTCTTCATGTCCTTCATTCCATTCCCGCCTAAACTTGCACATTTTGACGTGTAATTTGTGGTGATTTTGATTTATTATTTTTCTGATTCCCCTCTTTAGCTTGGATTACTGCATTTTCTTGGTTCATGTTAGTTTACTTGGGTAATATATTTTGACCGAAGATTGTTTGATGTTTCTGTTGGTGGAGTTAGAATTCTATAGCTGGAATAAGGATGTTTATTTCTATGAATCTATACTAATAAATCTTGTAGATCCTCAAGCAGCTGAAAGGATTTGTACTAATAGTAAATGCTCCAACGAATTTGTAACATATTCCAGCAAAACATCTATTTTGCTACTTGATGAATTTTCTCTTTCAAAGAAAAACTGGGAGCCGGTTATTAGGATACTAAATATATCAAATAGGCAGATTACCCAAGCAAAATTTAGTTTATTTTATCAGTGTTATTTTATTTGACAGTTGTCCAGTTTTTTTCTTGCTTCTTTCCATTCCCAGTATTACTGAGTTAGTAGCCTTGCAAATCAGTCCCTCAGTTGCATGTTTTACCCCTGAAACCTTCAAGACATGGTTTAAAGAATCCCACTGGAGGTAACTGGAACTTTGAGAAAGAAATTTTTCGTATTTAATTGTGAAGTGTGTAGTTTTGAACATATGTAATGCATCTTGATTATGTTAACCAGTAGACTATCATTAACCAACAAATGTTTATTAAGAACATTTATGGAACACATTAACGAGAACGTATACACAACTTGTAATTGTTGTGCTGTTTTCATGTGTCCTCTTCATAAAATTATCAGTTCTTTTATGTTTTGGGTTTCGCCTAAATGTCCCTACATCTGGGAGGTAAAATGAATGTTGTTTTTGAAGATTAAGATTGGCTTTGAAGCCTTTTAAGAGCCAATGATTTTTCTTAATTTTTCTTCTGATTTTATAACGTGGAACACAATCTAATAATGAATACATGCTTCACTTACTTTAATTTCGTTTGATGCAGTACATTACGTTGGGACCATTTAGATAATAATCCAATCAAAAGTTTGTTGTTGGTTTTTGATAAAATAAAGTTGATTGAGATTTGGGGAAAATAAGTGTGCAATAAGCTTTAGTTACTGAGCATGGAAGCTTTATGATTCTTGGTTTAGGTAGAATGCTGTCTGATTGGCAAAAGTAAATTTATAACCAATAAATCAATACAAACCTTGACAAGGGTTATTGCAGCAGATTTAATTGGCCTGTAACCATCCTGGACAATGCTAGAATAGAGGGAGCCCACAGGTCCTTATATTTTGCTGCAACTCAGTCTGTTGTATGAATTCAAGAAGATTGCAATAAATTTGTATTTGATGAGAGGAATGCCTTGAGTAGAGTTTTATACCATAAAGTATAAGGTTGTATTTGATACCTACTTCATGCCTGCCAAAATGTCCAAGATGGCTTTGATTTTTTTCTTGAATGATCTTCCTTTGGTTTGCTATGTTTCTACTTAATATTCGTCATTTTGGTTTGAATTTGATCAATGTTGTATTTTGTTTGAGAGCCTCTTTTTGTGTAGTTCCATGTCTAAAGATGTTCTGCCATGTTCTGCTTACATTGAAATAATTTATGTTCAGCTGGTGGATAAAGATCCAAAGAAGGGAGGCAAGAAGAAAAAAGAAGACGATAAAACGGGTGATCAGGACTTCTTTCATAGACTTGGCTGAATATGGGGGTACTTTTGTAAGCAGGATTTTATTTGAGAATCAACTGAGTTGAGAAGATAGCATTAGCTCAAGGAGTTGGCTAGAGAAGGCTTTTAGGACAGTAATAAAAGAAGTTAAGATATACGTGTATAAATTGCCTCACAAGATTATTCAAATGGTTAGTTTATAAAAATCCACTAATCTATAAAATGAGTATTTTTAATTAATAAACCTTTTATTCTAAATATGCATTTTGTTTATTACTGTGATCGAATTTAGTGTCTATTTTTGAACTTTAATTAATGTTATTGAATTTTAAACTCTGTCTATAAAATGTGTTACTAAAGATATAAGCTACCTAATCAAACAATTACCTACATGTCATATTATAGATCTAAAATACTCATGAAAGTAGATAAAAGATGATGCTTAGACATCAACCAACCTCTTCAAAAAAAAAAAAGGACATCAACCAAAATATTGAAAAAATTTTGTGGACACAAGAAGATATGCAAATGTGGTATAAAATATTTTTAGCGCCTATTTTTGCATGATGCAAGTTTTTTTTTTTTAAAACTCAACAGGAAGGCAAGGGTGATATTCATGTTCCAACTATCTCAAAAAAAAAAAAAAACTCAAGGGGGTCTACCCAGGAGGTAAATTTTTGAGATAGGCAGTGCTATACAGTACAATGCACCCAAGGGGTCTACCCAAGGGATGGATATTTATACTATATAGTTCCCTAGTTTCACTCTTCCCTGATTTTATTAAGATGTGGAAAAAAAGAGGGCAGTGTTTATGTCTCACCCTTGTACAAGGCCATAGAAGCTACTTTCGTAAATATGGAAAGGACAATTGATCTAATATCAAAAACCCCTTTACAAAACTAGACAGTGATACAAAACTATTGTAAGTATTAGATATTCCACTTGATGCTTGTTTAGCTAAACAGTCTGCAACTGCATTGCCTTCCCTGTAAATATGAGAGACTAAGAAATTATTTCTTAAGATGACAGAACACATCTCAATCAACTCCAAATGAAATCGCCATGGAAATCCTCTCTTCTCATTCAGAATACAAGCCAGAGAATGATTATCAGTTTGTACCTTAACATTTGAAAGTTGTAGGAGCTCACCTTGCGAAGTCCAAAAAGAATACCAAAAATTTCTACTTGGAAAAAATCTCCATCACCCAAGTATCTACTTTCTCCATAAATGAACTTACCACCTTCTCCTCGGATGACAAAATCATAACCTGCTCCATTAGCATTAGATGAACCATCCGAATTCAAAACAAAACAGTTCGAATCTGGGGGAATCCATCTTACTACTTTAGGATTCCTTTTATTAGCTCGAGTCAAGTGAAATCCAAAAAGACTAAAAATAAAAGAATTTTCAGCATCACCAACTACTTTTAAACAATGAATGAAAATTAAGTCTTTAACCTGATGATGGATTAAGTGAATGACCGAGTTTAAAGAGAGCTGAACTCCTTCAAAGATTGCCTTATTTCTTGCCTTCCAAACTTCCTAAAGAATAAAGATGGGGAATAAGTAATACAAAGACTTTTTCGCTGATGTGAAAGATCCATGGCGCCACCACCTCTTCAAGAGACCCAACAAGGTGCTATGTCCCCGAACTTATTCACTCATAACAAGAGCAAAGTGATCCCATATAGCTGTAATAAAATTACAACCATAAAAGCAATGATGCAAATCATCACTTTTGTTTCTGCAAATATCAATTATGGGGAATAAGTAATGCATGATGCAAGTATCAGTATATGGGATGTATTTTTCTTTTCATCAATTGAAATGAAAGTATATAAAGATAATGATTTAAAAGTGAATGAATAATAGTGATTAAAAAGTATATGATCTAAACAAAAAAAAAAGGATGGTTCAGTTAAGATATACGTTTCATTTAAATTGTATTCAGATTAACGTTGTACCTAAAAAGACGTCAACTATTCGTTATTTTTTTCATAAAGGTGTACAATCATTAAAAAATATTGTAAACTTATTAAAAGGTTAAAAATTTTCACAAAAAAAAAAAAAAAAATCTGACCACACGAATTCAAGTGAATGATTTGTATTACCTCAGTTTATTATGCCGGCGGTGGAAGTTTCGGTGGAGGAAGGAGCTGTTTTAAGGCAAAAATGGCAGTTAGATCCAAAACTTTCATTTCATGGTTAATTCTACTTTATTGATTTTTAGTTATCTAATTTTATCGCTTATGTTTGAAATTTTTATCAATTTCGTCTAATTATTTCTGTTAAATGTAACAGATTTCATTAATTTTTTTTTTATAAAAATACCCTAATAATTTTAACATATTATAAAAGTAACTCAAAATATGTAAAAATAACAAAATGAAACCTTTTCAAATTTTGATTCATTATTTTCCTATTCAATTTTATTTCTCTTTCCCATATCAAATTTTTTTCATGCGCAATGGAGTTGTGTTCAGGGATAATTTCATCATTCTCTATTTTTAAAATTTTAAAATTATTTTTTTTTTCGATTTTATACACCCTGATTTGTATATGCTGCTAGCCTGCTACTATATAAGGTTTTTTTCTTTTTTTTTTTGTGGGGAGGGATTAGGAGGGGTGGGGGTAAAATGATAAATTTCTCACATTCCCTTAAAAGAACCCGAAAATGTACTATCATTTTTCAGTTCTGTATTTTTTTTTTCCTCTTCCCTCTCAGGTTGAATTCTGCCAACTCGCTTTCTTCAGGAATCAAAATCGATGGGGTACTCCGAAAATTCTACCTTTATTATAGCTTCGGGATTCGTTGTTGATCTTGCTCTTTGTTTCTAATCTCAGTTTCTTCCTTTTTCCAAATTTGATTTTGTAATAAAATTTTGGAATTTCAGGAGCAGCAAGCAACCAGAGGTTCTATGGGCCCAGCGTTCAGACAAAATCTACTTAACAATCGCTTTGCCCGACGCGAAAGACGTGTCTGTCAAGTGCGAAGTTGATGGCCGCTTCTCTTTCTCTGCTGTTGGTGTTGATGGCCAGCCCTTCAGTTTCACTCTCCAACTCTATTCTAATATTATCCCAGAGGTCCTTTGTTTTTTCTTTCTATGTTTTTGTTTTTTGAATTAGTACCAGGGTATGTTTTTTTCTGTGCATAAATTACCTTTGCAAGATAACTTTTGGAGGGTATTTTTTGGGAAATTAATGTTAAAGGGAAGGTGGAAAGTTTGTTAACTACTACAGTTTTTTTTTTTTTTTCCTGGAAAAGAAAAGAGATCATGTTAGGAGTATTATGAAAGTAGTTTCAATTTGTGCAATTTATGTTATTGGTGGTCGTTCAATCGTTTGGATGTTATTTTTCTTTAAGCATAGACCCTGTTAGTGATTAGGCTTGCCATAGTGATTTGGTGTTGTATAGATTGTGTATGATTTGATGTTTATTTTGTTAAAATGGCTGAAGCCAATCATTTTAATATCTACCGACTGTAATATACTTTGTTTAAATGGGTTGGTGTTACGTACCATTGAAGAGGCAGGTGATTACTTTGTATCATATGGAGTAAATTATTACATGTTTGTTCGTTTGATTTCTAAGCGATCACGAACTGAATATTATTTCAATGGCTCATTGTTGCTAGGTTTAATGATTTTGAAAGACCGGTTGCTTCGTTTGAAATTGAGTGGTGTGTAATTATTTAGTTTATGTTGATATTGTCACTCTACAGAATGTTCAATATGCGGCAGCCTCTAAGAAAAGTTCCTCTTGCAAAATAGTTTACTTCCTCAAATTTCTGACTGGAATATGCTTTGCTTTTACTGTGCGAATGTCATGGTTATTCTGCTGCTTAAGTCATTCCCAATTTCATTCTGGACTTGAGCCTTAATTTCTGATGCAGGGATGTAAAACAAAGATTGGTTTGAGAAACATCTTATGTTCTGTTCAGAAAGAGAAGAAAGATTGGTGGAAAAGGCTTCTGAAGTCCGATGGAAAGCCTGCTCCATATATTAAGGTTGACTGGAACAAGTGGCGTGATGAGGATGGTGAGTCAAATGATTCTACGTTGCTTAATGTCTTATTGATTCTGAATCTTTGTTCACTATTATGGTTATGGGTTTTCCTCTCTATGTCAACAGTAAATTCTGAGACTCTCATTGAGTTTCTACTTCGCTTCCATTTCTTGATACCTTTGATGTCCCTGGTTGGCATGATGTGGATGTTGAGTTAAGTGATTATAAGTTGTTTGATGTCTTATTGTTGCTGAATCTTTGTTCATTGTTGCCATGGGTTGTCCACTTTAAATCAACAGTCAATTCTGGAACCTGCATTGAGTTTCTCCTTCAGTTCTTTTTCTTGTTTCTTTTGACGTCTCTGCTTAGCATGATTTTACTTTTGAATTGTCCTATATGCTATTGAAGTATAACAAACAAAACTTGCGGTCAACAAGTTGATATTATTATTATTATTAATATATTTGTATTTATCCATTATTTCCTCTTTTCTGTTGTATTTTTGTCCTATAGCCTCTGAATCATTGTTAAAGTGTTATTGAAAGCCTAATTCCACGGGTTTCAGGTTCTGGTTTGAGTGGCTGCTGTCACTGGCCATTTTCACCATCTTTTTGAATCTGCAATTGTTGACTTATTATTTTTTCTCAACTTTGACTGAAGTTTCGCCTGAACTTTTACATTTACCATATTTGGATTTAAGAATTTCAGAGATTCAACTTCACCAACAACCAATGAACATTTAATCATGCAAAATAATGGCCAAAAAGTTTAATAATGTTGGTCATATCTCAACTTGAGATTTGGTCTTTATTTGGTCCCTGTCTTCAGAATTAACCTAATTGATCCTTCAACTTGCTGTTTGTTGTTTATTGGTCCAAACATCTATTTTATACAAACAAACAAGAGATTCCACCCTTCACACGAGAAGCTCATGTGCTCTCAAGGGCAGTTACATATGATAGTGGCACAATCTACCTTTGTTTTGTCCCATCTTTTGCTTCTGAGAGTAGTATCAGCTTGTTGCATGATAATTGGAATTTATCGTTGTTTTCTCGATATTGGGTTTTGGCCCAAAGAACAATTATTAAGTGAAACAAAGTCCCTAATAGATTAGTGATATAGTTGAGGCAACAAATGATTGTACGAACTCATGTTGAGAGATTACACACACTATCAAACCTAAGCAAGGAATTTACGTTAGTTCAGTCAGGGAAGGTACTTTTTATTATCTAACTCATTTTAATTGCAAAACTGGTGTGTTTTTCTCGGAGCCTTATCCTTTTGCAAATGTACCTTTGAGCTTGTGCTTGATTCCTAGTTGATGTTCTTTTGTTTGTTTCTATGGTTTCAAAGAATGAGTTAAATGATTCCTGAGGGCCCTATTAAGTTTGAATAGGGCTTTATATTTTTTAATCTCAAGTTTTTTGGTTGTCCTTGCTGCAGATGTGGCCTCTGATGATGATGATGATGATGATGATTTATTGGTAATTGGGACATCTCTTTTACTTTGGTAGTTGCAAAAATAATTTCCTTTTTGTCAAGTTCACATGTTTAAAACATATTTGATCTTATGCAGAATACTGGTGAAGATGATGGGAGCAGCGATGATGAAGGAATGCTCTGTAAGTTTCCATCGTTTGTGTTTTTCCTCCTCAACATATGGACTCTGTATAGAGTGATTTTATTAAAATTCTAACAAATTAACAATGTTTACGCAAGCTGCCATTTTGAAGCAATCTTTTTTGTACTCCTCATTCTCATGCTTTGTTCAGGATATATCTCTTTGTTTTCTTCTATGATAATGGTGAAACATAGTTACAAGTTTCAATGTTCTTAAATCTTAAGATAATAGATGTAGATTAGACAGTTTGCTTAGAATTTAACATTTGCTCAGAAGTGCTTGAAGTCACTTTTTTCTGCTGAATGCTGAGCATAGATGTGTCAATATCTGGTATATGTTGCTATTTTTTTAATTCTGGGATGTTTCACAAATGTGCTTACGTTATTGTAGCAAATGTCAATTCGTTATTCACATTTTGCTTATTCTGAGGAAAGCTCTGCATGATTTGCATTTAATCAACGATTTTCTAGTTTGTCCAAATTATTTCCAGGTTGGTCGATTTGAATTTCAGTTGCCTTTATCATTCTCTCAAAATCTTTCCCTAAAGTGTATCTCGAAGTGTCTTTATTTCTGAAGTAACTTCGCCCCACCTTTAGATGTTGACATGTTTGTTATGTTTTGGACTGTGATTACCATTTATCTCAGATCTTCCCGACTTGGAAAAGGCTAGAGCATAGAGGAAAGTAAGAAGACTAACATGTGAGGAGGACTACATTGCAGCTTCTGATTTTTTCTGCTTGGATGCAAACAGAAGGCAGAATTATGGCATTGCCATTTTTGTCCTGTCTTGTTGTCTCTCTTTTGCGCACATTCTGATTTAGAAGTCCAGCCTTTTTGTCCTTTCTCTTTTCTACCTCTCATTAATCAATGTTGGATGCCACTGTAGTCTATCCTTGTTAACCTGAAAAGCTTACACATTGGGAAATCATATTTATAAGGATTAGGTATCTCTGAAGCATCCTAAAAAAAAAAAGAAGTATTTTATAAGGTTTTGCTTCCATCTGGTGGGTGGGGGTTACCGATAGCAAATCTGATATTATGGAGGACCTCTTCTTTGGCAGAATCCGGATTTGAATCACTAATTCGCTATTCTGCTATCAGGGGTTGCATACTGCATCATCATTATTATTAATATAGTATTAGATGTTAAACCGTCCGTGTGATAGTCATATTGATATGAATCTTAAGACAAAGGTGGTAGATTTACCTCGACGCGGAAGCTATGAATTTATCAGGACTTGAAAACTTGTAAATCCAATATTATGTACTCTAAACTCATGAAAAATAAAAGGAAAGAAGAGATGCAAACTACAAAAATTTGCACTAAAAAGGGATAAAAAGGTTTAGAAGATGTAGAAAGTGTTTAAGGTTAGTAACCCAATCGGTCACTTCTCTAACAATTATATCCCTTCGATTTATGGATAGAACGGCTAGCGAAAAGGCTCCAATGAACAACTAACAAAGCTCCACAAGTAAAAAAACAGCTATTCCACTCACATGCATCAACAAAGCACAAGCTTGTGTGCAATGCACTAATCTTCGAAAAGAACAGAAAAAGAACAAAGAGTTTCCTCTCGTCTTATATTGAAATATCAAATTCATCAAAGGTACAAATGAAATGCTGGCCAAGCACCCCTATTTATAGCAGAGGTGGCCGAAATTCCCCTATGAAATAGGAGAAGAATTTAATCTCTAACTCTATTCCTACTTTAAAGAACTAGAAATTAACTTAACCTCTAATTGACAACTTGTGTCTTATCTATTAAGGCAATGTATCTAGAGACCTTTATAGACTTAAGACACACTAGTCTAATGAAAATAAAACTTCAAATACAAAGAGATATTCTCTCAAAAGAATCTTATCCTTATCTTGAAAAGAATTTTCCTGAGTTGTCAACTTTATCAATATCTTCTTTGTAGAGTAATCATAGCCATCTAATCTTGATCTAATCTCCATCCAACGGTTGAGAGTAGCACCAATGAATAGACTTCTTATTTTGAATAAACTCTAAATTAGATAAAAGAGAATCATATCTTATCCTTCCATATGATAAAATTTAAATGATCTTATCTCTAGAAGATAGGGAATCTTCCAAATGTTATCCTTCCACAAGTGTGATAAGATTTAAATGATTTATCCCTAAAAGATAGAGATTCCAACTCCTAAAAATTAGGAAATAGAGCCGACCTCCCTTGCTTGGTTTGTGGGCCGAAATTTCCTTCCTCAAATGTGCTTCGTAACACATTAATAATCTTGGGCTTGTAACTTCCAGAATTGACATTCTCTTGGGCTAAACCATTTGATATAAGGTTATTAAGTGCACCCCTCATCCTTTTATTCTAGCTTGAGTCATTGGACCTCCAATGTTGGATAATGGATCTTGAGCCACTCCTTGAGCTTGGACAGTACTTGGAACCCGAACACCTTGATCATCTTGGACTTGATTACCATGGATGTTCACATCAATTGGCCTCAGAGCTTAGGTTTTTGAAGACTTGTTTTTGTTTTGATTTACTAAAGTTCATCTTTGGTTAGATCTCTAATTGTTCTTTTGAATTTTTGAGTCTTTTATTATAGATCTCACTATTTTGCTTCGATTGTATTTTTGTTTGATTTGATTGAAGTTGTTATAGTTAGATCCATTATTAGTAAAAAAAAAAAAACATTTTTCTTCTCCTTAATTTTCGGATCTAGGGTATCTTAATCCCTAATCCATGTTTTGAGTCAAAAAAAAAGAAGCCGTGCAAAGATAAAAAGAAAGACGGCATAAAAGGAGATTGTTATTTGAGTTTGACTTGAAGTGCAACTACTATTATTTGCACATATCTTTTTCGAAAATATTTGGATCTTTGGTGGCTAGGGTTTTTGCAAATATAGGCCCTTATTTGTGAAGTAGCCGAAACTAGGGTTTTATCTATGAACCCTAAGTCGAAGCTTTTATTTTTCAGAATTTGCTTCAAGTTCTATTAACCTTTTTGTGAGATCTAAGTTTTCATAATTGTAACTACTCGATCTATATTCGTGTTCTTCCTTAGATCTTGTTACAATTATTTTCAGAACCTTACTTTTTGATCCTCTTTATTTGTTCCAATAAAGTACTTCTTGTAGCACTATTCTTCATTGCACTAAAGAATTAAAAGACAAAGATAGTGGTAAGAAAAGAGTGAATACATCCCTTACTAAATTCTAAACCTTCTTGAGAGATCTTGGGTAGTGAATAGAATAGTTGAGAGGGGTAACTAGGAAGAGAGTTCTTCGATATTCTTTTTCTTGTTCTTGTGTGTGTTGAGTTGTGTTTCAGGAAACATAGGAGACAAAGCTCTACCTCCTCAACATGGAATGTTGACAACTCAGGAAGATTCTTTTCAAGATAAGGATAAGATTCTTTTGAGAGAATATTTCTTTGTATTTGGAGTTTTATTTTCATTAGACTAGTGTGTCTTAAGTCTATAAAGGTCTCTAGATACATTGCCTTAATAGATAAGACACAAGTTGTCAATTAGAAGTTAAGTTGATTTCTAGTTCTTTAAAGTAGGAATAAAGTTAGAGATCAAAGTCTTCTCGTACTTCATAGGAGAATTCGGCCCCCTCTACTAAAATAGGGGTGCTTGGCCAGCATTTCATTCGTACCTTTGATGAATTTGATATTTCAATATAAGACGAGAGGAAATACTTTGTTCTTTTTCTATTCTTTTTGAAGATTAGTGCATTGCACACAAGCTTGTGCTTTGTTGATGCATGCGAGTAGAATATGTGTTTTTCTACTTGTGGAGCTTTGTTAGTTGTTCATTGGAGCCTTTTCGCTAGCCGTTCTATCCATAAATCGAAGGGATAGGGTTGTTAGAGAGGTGACCGATTGGGTTGCTAACTTTAAACATTTTCTACATCTTCTAAACCTTTCTATCCCTTTTTGGTGCAAATTTTTGTGGTTTGCATCTCTTCTTTCTTTTTATTTTTCGTGAGTTTGGAGTCCATAATATTGGATTTATAAATTTTTAAGTCCTGGGAAATTCATAGCTTTCGCGTCGAGGTAAATCTGCCACCTTTGCCTCAAGGTTCATATCACATATTCAAATAAAAATAATGAAATAGGGGGGAATGAAATGTTGTATTATTTTAACTCCAAATTAAAAATGGTTAATTGTATATACATGTAAAAAAGAGCATTTAAAAATCAAACAGAGTAACAGTAAAAAAGAACACATAAAAATCATGTCCATCTCGTGTAAATCAGCCCCTTATTTCAGGGCAATTTTAGTATATATAAAATAACCACAAGTATAGAAAATGCACTGAAGTAACATATTTATTAGCTCTTTTCCAAAAAAATAAAAAAAAACAGATTTATTAGCTAATAAACGTTTATAAGCATCATGTTGGTAAAATATTTTGATGGTTTGGAATGAATTTTTTTTCTTAGAAACTTTATATTTGATTGGTCTACCACAATTTTTATTTTATTCTTTTAAATGTGCTATTGTAATCAAGCTTTTGCTCCCACTTCCTCTCTTATACAATTCCAAAATTGTTTTGCCTTTTTTTTCTTCATGACAAATGATCAATCACAGTAACTCATACATATAAGAAACATAATAAAGTAATAAAATTAAAAATTTACTAATGGTAATGTACATTTTTTAATTCAAATTGTTATAATTAAACTGTTTTCTCATATAATCATTTGTTTTAAATATTTTGCACTCCTTATTCAATATTTCATTTTGCCTTAGTTTCACCCATTTTTAGAGATTTTCAATTTAGAATTTAATGGTATATATATCAAATTTTTTCCTCTCTTAATTATTTATCACTCAACTATGTTTTTTTTCTCCCCTTACTTCACATTACAGATTAGCGGGTGAATCGAGCATAGGTCTCGAAAATGTGTGCGAGTTTTGAAAACAAGAAAATCAAATGTAGTTAGGAGTAGAGCCTTGTGAAACATTAGAACTGCTTTAATCAATGTAGTCTTTATAATGTTTTATAGCACCATAACATATTATTGTAAGAATTCGTTTCTGTATTTATTGGTTCATAATTCAGTGTTATTAAGTTTTGGCGTGAGCTAGGCAGATGTCACATGTAAGGCATTACATGAGAAGTTGGTGTTTTGGACGGGATGCTACATGTACCATCACCAAAACTCTCTTTAATTAAAGTGTAAATATACATATATAATTAATTCTGTTAAACAAAAATATTATCTTGCTTTGTTCAGCTAAAGTTTTTAACCATTATCAATAGCTATTGATTCTCTAATTTTACCGAATCAATGTAATAAAACCTTATAAGGAATGTATTTTATTAAATTAAATAATTTATATGTGTTGTTATCTTTAATAAGCTATACTAGTCCTAGGCGGTCGCGCGTTGCTCATTTCGTAATCCGTACTTGAAATGATAAATAATCATAATAAAAAAAATTTTTAAATAAAAAACATTGTTGCTTTTAAATAAGCAATTTGAATGTTAAAATTTCAAATAATAGAGAGAACTGAGTGTGAAAGATGTTAGCCAGGCAACGAACCTGTTATTTCTACTGGTCTGCAAGGTCGAACACCTCTTTGTAGATGACGTTTCCGAGTTCTGTTACAAAATAAAGTTGACAATGATTATTATGAAAGAGGTGAAATAATATAAGTTGTCATTTAGTATACCTTTTTCGGATTTTCGACTATATCTTTGGCATTATCGTCCAAGATCTTTTCTCCAATTTTGTTGAATATGGTAGTTTCGATTGAATCATTTTCTTCGTTGATCTTAACTTTTAGACGGGACCTAAAATTTTTAAGATTAAAGTTTAAGATGAGAAGTATTGAGACTCAGTGATGAAAAAATGATCATAACAGTAAGAAAGAATTTCGACGTATTTGGGAGTGTCCACTACTTGTTTCACTTTACTTTTGTTACAAGTGAAATGTTGTTCGTACGATGCAGTTGTCTTAGTGTTGCATTCCTTGCAAGCCAGCTAGCATGATTTATAAAAAGAGGATGCATATTCAACTTTTCTTATATTTTTAAAATTGTATGACGCAACAATTCAGGAAAGAAATTAACGTGAAGATCAAAACAAAGGGAGAAAAAAGATAAATGCAGTGATGAAAATAGGCTTTCATCTTTTTTTTTTTAGAATAACTAATCGTTTATAAGGGGGAAAAAACAATGTTGCAAATTGAGTCTATTAAGG